CATATGTTACTTACAGTTGCTCCACTTGTTGTACGTTTACAACCAATTGTCAATTCTTCTTTATCAAATTCAAATTTCATACCATTTGATGTGCTCTTATTTTGAACAAAAACATCATCATGTGTGTCAGTTAATTGATAGACATATCCATCTTTATTATGAGTAGTACTATTATGATTAATTCCATTAATTGCATTTTTCTCATTAAATTCTCTTTTTGCAATACGTTTAATTGGTGGTGAAATTGTTATACCAGGTGAACCATCTGAATGTTCATCATGTAATGGTTTTTTAGATGAAATTTTCTTTTCTATTTTTGTATTTGTATTTGTATTTGGTGATGTTGCAGATGATTCAAGACGAACAATCATTTGTCGTACATGACTTTGTTCTGATGGTGTTGGAGATGCTGATTTTGATATATTAATATTTCGTTTATTATTTATACGAGTTTCAATATGATGTTCATTAATTGGACCTAAAAATAAATAAGAAATCAGTTTTAAATGAAACAAATGTAAATATTTGAAAAAATTTCTAACCATCATTATTATTTGTTGATTTAACATCATAAAGTGCAACAGAAACAAGACCTGGATATGTTGGTGATGAACTTCTTGGCATATATGCATGATCACTAAATCGTTCACCTGTACGTAAATTAATTTCTGAACGTGTTATTCCTGATCGTATATCAATATCTTTAGCCATTTGTTTAACTTTTGTTGTTACATTTGGAGTTATATAATTAGTTGAAAGAACTATAGGTGGTGTTGGATGATTAATTTCAACTACATCACGTAATTGTTGTCCACTTGTATTTTGTCCCTCACCTTCTAAACTATCTGAAGAATCTAAACGAGCACGTCGTTCACGTTCACGCCATATATTAAAGACATTTGAATTAGGTTCATGATTTGATGAAATAACATTATATTTAACAGCACGTCGTGGTATACGTTCTTGTATAAATGTTAATGCACGAGATTTTGTTCGTAATGGACGATTTAATTTAAGATAATGAATTATTCGTTTTAATTGTTCTTTAGAAAAGGTTTCTAAATGTTGAATACGAATTAATTCATCAATTAAAGATGAAAGAGTTTCAAAATCTCGACGATCAAATGTTTGTTTATTTGATAAATTACGTAAACGACCTATTATACGTACAGTTTCATTGTCTAATGGTATAAAACCTAATCGACGAGCAATATTTTCATCACTTTCATCATCCGTATCATCTTCATCGGTATTATCTTTTTCATCATTATCATCATTATTATCTTCACTATTATCATCATCATCGTCATCATCATCATCCGATCTAGAAAATAAATAGTTTAATTGCTTATATCATTAAAATCAATTAAAATGAAGTAAATTTGTGAAAAGAGAAATTGAATTGTCACAATGTACTATGTACGCTTCATTTTATGAAAAAGTATAATTTTTTGGTTAAACTAGCTTATTGTTTTGACAAGATAGACTTATGCTTTATTGTTCTTTTTATTTCATATAAATTTCCTGTATTTCCTCCTTCGTATTTTATGTTACCTTAGACTATCTAACCTTGATTACAATTTATCATGGAGTTCATGAATATTTGTAATCAAAATATAGACATCTTTAGAACTTTCAATATATATATTTTTGTTAGTTGACGTTTCTCAAGATGCATGAAGAACTTTAGTTAATAGATGTTCTGTCTAGCCATCTCATTTCAATTATCTTTATTTCCGCATATGTTTTCTCAGACATCCTTCAATTTTTACCGAAAAATCATCATGATACTAACAAATGGAAAAATGCAAAAATTTTTATAGGTAAAACGCCTACGGCGTGGACTTCTACTATCCACAACATCTAAATAATTTTCAATGTCTTTCGTCTAGAAATGTTTTCTTATCTAATGAAATGAATTTCATGCTATCTCTATAAGTACATTGATACTAATGATGTGTGAAATCAACACAATAAAATTGTACTTAGATTAGGAGTGTAAAAAACAACATATTTACTGTAAATGAAATTAGACTATATATATATTTTTTTTTCTAAATTTAGAAAATAGAAATTAAACGAATTAATGAAATCTCTCGATGCAAAACCTCTAGCTTTTTTAATCAAAATAAAGAATTTACCTTCTTGAGTTATTATTATTTCTGTTTGGATTGGTACCATTTCCATTTTCATAACTATCCGGTGAATCATTTGATCGGTTATTTCTTCTATAAGATTCATCATTATTATTATTATTATTACTATGATGTGAATATCCATTAGTTCTTCCATTGTAACTATCTCCATTTTCCATATCCATTTCCATTGTTTGTGAATGTTGATTAATTTTAAATAAACTAATCTTTTCGGATTCATAATCATTTGCTAAAACCGAGGAGAAAACTCCATAACGAATTGCTTCTTGTAATTGACCATTATTAACTTGAAGTTGAACATCAAAATGATTTAAAGATATGTCCATATGGGTTAATTCATATTCATCATTATCTTCTTCTTCTTCCTCCTCGTCTTGATAATCATTTTTTAAAACTATTTCAATATTATTATTATTATTATTATTATTATTTGTTGATGAAATTTTTTGTTGAATTGTATTATTATCATGATCATCATTATCATTATGATTAATAATGAATTCTATTTGATTATGATTATTATTTTGATTATAACTATCAATTGCTTTTTCTACGCGAATATTACCATTTGTATGTGTCCATTTATGACACCCACTAATCAATTGAAGACTATCACTTGTTGTTGTCGTTGTTGTTGTTGATACAAAATCATATTGTTCGAGTGAATCAATTGATGAAGCACGATCAACATTCTTCAAAATGAAATAAAATATCGAATTTATATAGAAACAACAAAAAAAAAGATTAAACATACTGTAATATTCATTTCATCATCATCTTCGCGTTCGTTATCCATTTGATTTAAATGAGAATATGAATAATTCTAAAAAACAGAAGCGTGTTCAGTTTTATAACATATAACTAATTCGAATGAATGACTGATTGATTTTTCTTTCGTTTTCTTACTTGAACAGTGTCAACGCCTTTTTATACTTTCGACAATGTTTATCTTCAATACAATCGATTAAGCTTTTTACAAAAAAAAATGAGATAGAGTCACACGAGATTAACACTTTTATATTACATAGTAAATCCTTTTGTACATACCTGATCAATATTGACAATATCTTTAGGTGCCATTTGACAAAGAAAAAAACAAATAAAAAAGACTAGTCGAGCAATATATATTTACTATTAACACATGATAATGTCAAAGAGCAAATAGTTGTGTACTTATGAGTGTAGATATATACTGTATGAAATAATAAAAGACATGTTACGGACGACTGAATTGAAAGGTAAAAGACAGAAGAAAAGACGTAAGAAAAAAATATACACACATACTGTCATCCGATACGTGATGATCAAGGACACTATTGAGTGAATCTTTTCATTAAAATTATTTTTTCCTCTCGCATATATATTGAATTGTCCATATGTTGACTAATATTTTTATTCAAAGTCGTTTGATAGATACTCAAAAAAAAAAGGTGACAGAAAATGTAAAATATATCATTATTTATATCAGTTGATTGAATGCTTTATTTCCTTACCATTAAAATTGGTGATGGGAAGAGAAATTTTTCTTTTTATAATAAAAAAATGCATATTTAAATTGAAAATGCTCTTATGAAATTCCCCGTTTTATCTTTAATGATGGTACATACCATTCGTTTGTCGCGCACGATTCACTCTTATTCCTTGTTTGAACGAAATTTCTTCTCTTTTTTTTCTTTTCTTGGTTCTGCCTGGTTGAACATCTACGTTCTTTTCTCTTTCTCTTTTTCTATCTGTTTCTCTGTCGTTTTTGACGATAATCATCGTTCAAAATGAATGAATAAATGATGTACAATGCGAAAATGATCTATCATCAACGAAAGAAAGAAAAAAGAAAGGCGTACAGCAATCAGCCAAACCGACCATATCCTAAATTGAAACATTTATTGAATGAATCGAAAGAGTACACAAGCATTTCATGCTCTTATATGTAAGATAATGGCGAGACATCTTTTCGTGCACATTTCATCTTTACTCATAACTCTTCTAAACGTCATATAGATTCATTCAAAACGCTTGTATATCATATCGATGATTCAATACGAAAAGATAGATGATTAGATATTAAAGTACATATATATGTATATATAGGTCAACATCTTTTTATATATTTATAATATATAAGAACATTAAGAAAAATTTGATGCAGATGATTTTAAAACATATTATATAGAAAATAGTTATGAAATTGAAAACCTTGATGAATGAAATAAGAAAAGAAAAAATTTCAAGTAATAATTAATATATATATGTATATAGTATGATTTCAAATGATAATAAGAAAAAGATTTTATTGTATTAAATCTTGTAACAAATATAGTTTATTATCAAATCGTTTTTTTCAATAAATATGGTTGAGAAACCACCTAATCATTTCGAAATCAATCAATGTCAAAATTAGTTAACATCAAAAATTAGAAAGTTAACGTCAAACTTTTTACTAAAAATGATAATTTAAAATATGACATACTGTTAAGGTTAGAAAATATTAATCATTTGATATTTAATGAGACCTTCGATCTTGACAAGGATCGAACTGTTCATAAAGTAAAAGGTTAAGCTTGCTAATTAGAAAATAATGAATCAAAGATTATTAAGTATAATAAACATACATCATACGTAAAAAAGAAAATTATTCAAATAGAATAATTTAACCTTCCAATATTGATATTAATGTTCAATGAAATTGTACAAAAGAAAAATTTTTTTTTCTATGATTACCTTCTTCCTTTTTTTCATATCAATAAAAACAAAAAATAGAAAGTTAATACGAAAATAACTTTAGATTGTATCATAAAAACTGATCAAAATAACAGATATACATATTTATGATAAATAGACATTCATTATACTTTAGATAGATTATAAACATATAATTTTATTTTTATTTTAAGCTATAAATTCCTCTAGATACTTTATTATAGTTTAAAATCAAACAAAATATTTATCAACTTCTATCTTCATATCAATCTCGAAATCAAATATAAAAAGTAGATTTACGTGTGTGTCTATCTGAACTATGTATATATATTAATCGGTTGAATATCTATAAAAAACATTTGACTAATCAAACTTTTTTCGTATGTATTATACTGAATAATGGTTACAATAAGAATCATTGAACTATTTTATCTCATCTATTGATTTGACAATGTGTCTACATATGTACAATTGTTTCTTTTTCTATTAGATATACCTGTCATCGTATCAAACCGTTTTTTGAATTTATGTATTATAGAAACTGATAATAAATAACTATTCTTATTTTATTGAAAAGAAAAATTTCTTTTATTGTTTTTAAAAAGAATTTCCTTTTTATGCTTATACATTTTATATATAATTTACAATTAGAATAATAAAATTAAATGTACTTTTAGTATTATTAAAGATCATATATTTTTGTTCGATATAAAATCTTTTGAATGAAAATATGTGATTGATTTAGATATACGATATTAACTGCTTCTTAGTAGAAAATCGTCATAAATTATTCAAATATAAAAACAGTGTAACTATAATAAATTTCAAATTGTTCGTATTTCCAATTGCATAATTGATTGCATAGATTCTTTTATGAAATTTATACGAATCATCTTGATATATATTTAGTGTAGATTATAATTTACTTTCAATTCATTCAGTGTCGATTAAATCTATGATTATTCAATATTAACTCTAAATAAAAGTACTGTCAGTAATGTTTTATTATTAAAACTGATATCATAGTAAATCATATTTATTCAGAATAATATGTATTAGTTCCTTTATATAAATTTATTTTTATCAAATACTCGTTGTGCAAACCAAGAAAATAATCATGAATTATCTAGTTTGATAAAAAAATATTTTTTGAACTATACAATCAATATTTCACTAGGTTTTATTAGATTGAACTTTGGATAGAACGATAATATTCTTTAAAAACAACTTCATTCATAAATATAAAATCATATCTGACATGAAAATAGAAATTTTATTTTTTATCATTTATTTTGTGTTATAATCTTTTTTTTCCCTATATAAATGCTCCAAAAGAACGATGTACAATTTCTGATTTCATCGTTATTTGACAAGTAACGGTAATGATGCCATTTTTTTTCTTCTTATGTCGTACTACTATTACTGCTGCTGCTGCTGCCACTGCTGTCGTTCTTTCTCTGCCACTTCTTTATACGTCTGCACTAGATTGTCGTTGTCATTTGAATCGTTGTAGCGTGTAATAACGGCAGCAGCGACAAGAATAAGAAGGAAATCGAATCGGCTGTTACTTGTCCTGTACTCTCATCGACGTACAATGAACGTTAGTCGTTATAAACATATATGTGTGCCATTCGTAAAGCAACAAGGGTAACAAGAATTTTTTCTCTTTCTCTCTCTCCCTCTCTCCCTATACTATAAGCAAGCAAGTCAGCTAACAGCAGCAGTAGCGTGCAGCAGAAAGGAAAGAAAATATATGACGACTATATGCGTTTACGTGTATGTGCGCTTGTTCTGCCTTGTATGTCTATGTGTTTGTGCTTGCTCTCACACAAGACATTGCATGCCCGACGACGACGACATATATAACGTTAAGCTAGAGGAAAGAGAAGGCAGACACACTCGCTATTGCTCTTTCACATCGTCTCTTCTTTCTCTCTTCATATTCACCACCCTACAAGCGAACACACACACACATACACACATACATACTGCTATTGCTGAGTGACTGACGCGCACACTGCAAAAGACAAGCAAGTAAGCAAGCAAGCAAGCAACCAAAGCAGTATATATATATATATACATACATATATTTTACCCGATTATTACGACATCTACTTTCTAAAGTATGTATATAATAAGAAAAAGAATTTTTTTAAAGAGAAGTTGATTTAGTTTTGAAACAAATGAATTAATTTTTCTATTAAAAAAATACTTTAAACCAAACTATGAACATATTGTTAACCGCGAATTTAAATAAACATTTATTTTAGATATGCCTCGTATTCCTAAATCTCAAAAAGATCCAAATGCACCAAAACGTCCATTATCAACATTTTTCTTATTTTCAGCAGATGAACGACCAAAAATAAAGAAAGACAATCCATCATTATCAGTTGCTGATATTGCTAAAGTTATTGGTGAACGGTGGCGTTCAATAGGTGAAGATCGAAAGAAACATTATGAAGAAAGAGCTCGAACTGAAAAAGAACGATATGAGCGAGAAATAGCTGCTTATAAACAACAAGGTGGTGGCAAATAGAACCAATTTATCTAAATCGATGCATAACAATGATTCCGATGATTTTTGAAAAAAAATAGAAGATCATGTAGTGTACATAAAAAGCATCATATATTGTAGTTAGTATTATCCAAAGAAAAAAAAAAGAACCAGAATGTTGTTTTGTTTTGTTCGTTTTCTTTTTGCTGTATATCAATCAGTTTTTTTTCGTTCATTTGCTTCTTTCTATATATGTAGTGTTCACTAATTTGAAAAAGGGGTAAATAAAATAAAAAACTGCGTATGTTTTGTATGAAAAACAAATATATGTATATGAATAGATAATAATTTGTTTTGATAAAGAAGGGCTTCATTTCATGTGCAACAAATTCAATTGGAATAATACATAAAGATATTGAAGATTAAAATGATATATGTATTGTGATTTATACAATGACATATCACAGTAGAAGGGATTTTTTGTGAATCTGAACTGGAATAATTCCGATTATTTAGTTTGAATACCCATGTACTAGAGTTGATTGAACAGTTCTTCGATATATATACATATATATTTAATTTATAGAGTATTTTGTATAAAAAGGCAATTATTATTTAACTATACAAAATCAAAAATTAATTTCTTATTAATTTAACAAAGCAAAATCAGTAACATTAAGTTCGTTTCTTTTCTTCACTTTGTTTGATATATTTTTAAAGGTTAAATATCCTTTGTCTATATAAATTGAACTTTTACTCCTTCAGATGTCGCTCATGTCTGATTTATCTCATGTTATCTAGTTAAAATTATTATAATTACCATTATTTTTAATTATGAAGATAATAAATAAAAGAAAAAGAAAAAAAGAAATAATATAAACAAACTAATCTTATAAATGAAGGTTTAAACATCCCAACCAACATGGCAGTATCGTCAAGCGAATGACTTTTCTTTTTCTTCCTCGATTAATGAATAAATGGGACGAAAGAGAGAAAGAAAGGTCACATTATTAAAAATGATCATGATTAAATCCTTATGTATTTGAAGTTTTTTTTGATTTCTAGATAAATTAATCATGTCTAATGAAGAAGATGAATGTGACTCTTCGAGTCTATTTACTGTTGCAAGTCAATCAAATGTAAATTCATTTTTACATTCTCAAGCAGCTAAAATAACACGTGTTACATCAAGTATAAGTGATGAAGACGATAGTTCAATGGACGGAAGTCTTGTAGCACGTTTTACTCAATTACCATCAGAAAAAAAAGTTATTATTACAAATTCTCATATACGTACAACACCAGTAAAATCTTATTTAAGTCGTTCATGTTTTGCATCATTAACATGTTCATCACCAATAAAAACGAATCCACAAAAACCACATACATCTGATGATTTAACTGAATTAAAATGGTTAAATACATTTAAATTAAAAGAATTAAAAGATGATTTAAATACTAATGATATTAAAGATAAAGATTTAACTGAAAAAAATCAATCAACTCAACCACAAGAATCAATTAATAATGATGAAGATCGTTTAGCTAAATTAATAAGTGAATTAAAATCATATGTTAATGAAAATACAAAAATAAATACAACATCATTTGGTATATTAATATTTCTTGCACTTTATTCTAAACGTGATGAAAAACATTTACCATGGTCATTAACTATCAAACAATTATATGAATATACACAATTAAATGCTAAACAAATAACAAATAAACGTGGTTGGAAAAATTTATTACGACAAGCATTAATTACAATTCCATGTTTTGTTAAAACAAAACGTGATTTACTTAAATCACGTTCTTTATGGACAATTGATCCTTATTATCGACCATTATTAACAAAAGCTTATTTAACAGTTCCACCAACACAACCATCAGTTACATCGAATAAGTAATTAAAAGCATTTTGTTTAAATTAAATTTTATATTTAATTTGTTTTCTTTTTTATTATTAGAACATTATCAGAAGTTGCAACAAATCGACATGATGATCAATTGTAAATTTTTGTTTTGTTTTATTTTTATTTTATTAAAATTTTCTTTATTTAATTTAGAGATGGAAATCTTCCATCACAATCAATTGTTAATAATTTTGCACCAAAAGCAACAGTGAAAACAAAAGGTAAACTAAGAAGAATATTTATTTATTTATTTATTTATTTGATTTTTTTGTTATTAGTTCTTCCTCGTCTTTATGAACGTCTTTGTGAAGAGAAAGTAGACGAAGAAGGTGATGAAGCTGATTCACATAATCTTGGTAAACGTCATCGAAGTTTAACACTAGGTAAAATAAATAATATTCTTTTGATTTGATTCATTGAATGATGGAAAAAATATCTTTTATGATTCAAAGAGATAATTTCATTTATTAGTTTTTTGCGATATATAACATATAAATTATTTGATTATATCTAATACTGATATAAGAATTTAAGGAATGAAATATTTCAGGAATAGTAGTGATTATACCTTTACAATATTTAGTAACTAGATTCGTAGTACAAGTTTTCATTAGGTTAACTCATAAAATTATCTCTATTTAAAAGAACTTAATACCATTTGGTATTTTCTTTTCCTTGATACTCATACTTATAATAATATTGTCTTTTTATTTCGAAGCCTGTAGACAAATCATTCTTGGATATTACGGGCAATTTTAATGTACGTGAGCTAAAATTTTGAATAGGATCTTATTCATCTTCAAGATTATCGATTGAACTGTAAATGATTCATAGTTTCAACTAAAAATAGTCTTTTTATATCACTGATTTAATAGATGAACTAAGATATGATAATTGTATTGTATTCCGATGAGTTTTTAATTGTATAGAGATCATATATTTCTTACAATTTAATATTACTGTATATGAAATGACTATGAATATCTTGATATAATTTAATAATAAATAGGAAAACTTAATTTGAAATAAATCTTTCAAATCTTTAGTTTCAATATGATACTACTTCTAAATGCTAAACAAAAGTAAATAGATGGTAATGATGTGTTATATCACTTTTTTCTTTGTGAATCTATTAAGAGTGTTTGACTTTGTTGTGTCCTTCTATTACTAATATAACAGAAAAATTTGTCTTTGTATTTATATATTTATATATATAAATCTATTCTATTTGTTTATTTCTTTAATAGGTCGTAAACGTCCTCGTTCTTCTTCATCATCAGGTCATCGAAAAGCTGTGAAAGGTAAAAAAGACGACGAAATATTCGATTTTCTTTAATTTATCTCAATACTTTTAATATATTAGACAATGATGGAAAACGCCGTTCATCAACATCACCATGGACATCAAAAATACTCAAACGACATAAACGTCGACATCATCATTCTTCTGATAATGAACCAAAAACATCAACACCAAATAAAGGGTAAAAATAGATTTTCATAATTCACTCTCGATGTTAATTTCTAAATCAATCACTCAATTCTTTCATAAATATAGATACATTATCTCGTTATTCTTAGCCTTGAGTAAACTTCAAAAAGTTCTTTTTTTTTAATGAAAGAGTGAGTTTGTTTGATTTATCAATCCAATTCAGTGTAGATCTCGGTGGTCGCCGTATCATTAAAAAAATCTATTTATATTTATATTTACAATAGATCCACTTCTGAAAATCGTTCATCATCAATATCAACCGTTGTTACACCATGTCCAAGTATGGATCATACTTATTTAATTCAATCTGAAAAAGCAAAAAATTCAGCAAAAAAACAATCACCTTTAGAAAGAACTAAATCTACAGGCTCCGTTGAATATAGTATGATATAAATAATCTTTGAATTTATTTATTTTATTTTTAAAAATTTTTCACTTAAAATAGATGATCCATCTAGCAATGAAAGTGAAGAAGATGATGATGATGATGAACGTGATAGTAGTGTACCTACACGTCCAGTACGTAAATCAATTATAACAACTCGTGCTCAAGCAGCAGCTCGTAATCATTCAAAAAATCGTCGAAAAAGTTCACCACCTAAGAAACGTTTATCACTTCAATTACCATCTCATCGACCAAATACACGTATAAATCGACGAATAATTGAACATGATTTAAAATTATTACGACAAGCTAATGTTTTACCTCCATTATCACCTCCAACAAATCAGCTACCACTTGATTTATCTCTTGGTCCTAATCGATCATCTTCATTTGAAGAAGCAATTGAAAAATCGACTACAACTGAAACAAAAGACGAAATAATTACATCTAAAACAACGCCAATTGAAGGTGTACTCGATCTATCTCTTTCCCGATGATAATGATAAGAATATTTATTTGTAAGTGTGTGTTTAGTTTTGTACGTGTGCAATATAAACGTACCAGATAAACTTATTTATTTCACTCATTTACTCAGGCGTACTTTGCCTTAATCGACTGTATTCTACATCTGTTCATTCTGAAGTGTTTTTTTTTTCTTGTCTTTATTGTGCATTGTTTTTGTTTTTCTTTATTATCTCTCACTGTATTTGTGCTTCCATTCTTCGAAATTATCGTTTTTTTTTCTTGTTTATAACGATTATTCTTTAGATTTGAAGAAGAGAAGAAAAAATAGAAAGTCATGATAACTTAATAAGATTTC